TAAAGGTCATGAAATAATTACTGAAACTTGAACCACCTTACGTGCAAAGCTCCTTGACCAAGGAGTGGAAGTGGGGGGGGGGTCAATTGAAATTGAAAAATTGAAAAAAAGAGAAAAAAAAAAAAATTTTTTCATGATGGCAATTAATAATAAATAAAATACCGTAATATTTCATAAATTATTGATTTTTACTTCTAACATGGTATTTTATGTTGATTGTTAAATTTTAAAATTAATCTAAGAAAATTTTAGATTTTTTAAAATTTTATTAATTTTGTAAGGCATCTTCAAACGTAACTAAAAGTCAATAAAATAGATAATTTGTAAAAATTACTAGGTAGTTAAAAATCAAAAAAATGCGTTCACTTAGATTTCGTAGATTTATTTCAATTCTGGTCATCCATACTAGCCGTCATCACCGCGTAACTTATCGGTGACCTCGATAACGTCAATAAAGACATGAGATAAAGAGGACCCGTTGTTAAGAAATGCTTGTATACTGTATTTTTTATGCTATAAGTAATATTTGTTTCAACTCAAATTTAACTTTAAATTCGTTAATTTTACTCAAATAACGAGACACAAATATATATTTTATTTTTGTAACATTTTTAAAATCGATAATTTTGTTTTGTTTATAAATTTATTAAAATTAAGAAAATGATCGCTTTAAAGAAAAATTTCTTAAATCGGCCGAAAAGTTGAGATACCGATGTATATAATTTTTACTTAAAATACACCAGAATGTTTTACTTACTGGAAATAGTAAATTTAATCATTTAGCTTTCAATTAAAGCTAAAATGAAATCTTCAAGAATGCTTTTTCATTTTTTAAAATTAATTTTAAACCTTAGGTATGTAAAATTCAATATAGGTACCTACAATAAATTGTTTTTATACTCGCGCCGGTTGAAATCGAAAATGTTTCTGCTGACTGGCAAAATGTTTCTGGTAAATCGGAGCCGACCATTGTTATAAAAATCCCTGCAATACGACATCGAGGAGTAAGAGACGCACAATGCGACGCTTTCTAAATAAAAATCTGAAAACCTGACCGAGCGTGGACTTTATTATAAACATACTAGCAGCATGGCCCCGCGTTGCCCGTGTTTGATTCAAAAATCGTACGACTCATACAGCAATCGCTATCACTTGACTTAAAATATTTTTGCCCTTCCTTGCCTTTAAAGGAGTGCCTTTTACCGTGCTAATGTTGCTACATGCCTTACTTCTTGCCTATCTCACACTGCGGATTGTTTCTAAGCTCTATACTAAACATTAAATCTGTTACGAAAAAAAGAACTAAACAAAATGAACACAAAACGATCAGCTTTAAAAAAGGACTCGTAACTGGAAAAACCGAATGAAAAAAGAATGTTAACAACAAATATTTTTTCACACCCAACCCAGTTCTGCGGAATCAGAATCAACGTTGAGTTTAGGCAAGCGAATGAGCCAATTGGAGTAAAGTGCCATGCAGATTTAAATTTTTCCCACTTGTGACGAATGCAGCTATCGACTTTATGGCATGCTAGTTAACATTCGTGTCAGTCAGCTGTTGGCTCTCACGCTGGCCAGTAGAATCTTCCTGCCTATTCGTGGTAGCCAGCTATGTGGTCTCGCTCCTGTCAGTAGGAAATGGCCGCAAACTACATGAAAACTGTCGTAGAAGCATGAAAAACTCGATTATTTCCACTATCGATGGGAGTTGGGAAATGCAAAGTCGGTCTTGGTCTTCCCACTAACTTGGAGCATGTGCATGTAAATTTTGGTATAAATCCGTCGAAAATTGCGTCCGTGCATTCGTTACACACACATACACACACACACACACACACACACACATCCTGCCTTTTATAGATAGAGATTTTTCCCACAACTACTATTGAGTCTTATTTTAGAAAAAATAAGTTGGCAAGAAAATTATTACCCTATTTTCAGGGGGTACAAACCACTACGTTTGTGCATCCCTAATAGTTAGTAAAATTTTATTTTATTTTAATATAACTTTTTTGGTTTCATATCACATTGAATATCTCTCGTCATTTTTGGAGTTCACCTTGTTGCCACTTGATCTACATTCTCCCCCAATGTCTTTTAACCGAACCCACAAAAACAAACATTAATTTTTTTTTTCTTACTATTTTTCATACTTCCTACTTATAAACGTTCAAGTTACAAGCTTTCAGAGTTACAAACAAATATGTCATTATATTTAAATTTTGAAGACTAGTCATGTTCAGAAGGTGCGGGCATCTATAGTTTTGCCTACTCGGCTACAGAAAGCTTCACAGACAAGCAAGCTTCTATTTGCCATAATGCACATTCACTCGTTCAAATTTCCCCGGAAGTCATATCTATCTGGGTTACCTCACTTGATTTTGCCAAAAACGCACTTTAGAGTACGCACTTTAAGTCTTAAAAAAAGACAAGCATATCTCTTTCTCTTTTTAACTCTTGCTTCCAGATGAAGAATACTGCCCCTGGGGCGCGTTCGTTTCTCTTGGTTTTCAGCTGCCTTTTGAACTCTCGCAAACACGCACATATACACACGTGTATCACACACGCTTGTGACACATACGCACATACACATATTCTCATAGCTACTTTCAGTGACTTCTCCTTTCATTTCAGTTGTGTACACATCCAATTACTTTTGTTAATACATACATACAATTACCGTTTGTTTTAAATTCACTGTTTTGTGTACTTATATTTACGCAGACTCACATGAATCCACCAATAATGTTTGCAGGACCAATATTCCACGATCGAATAAATACATAATATACAACGTATAGACACTCAGTGTGTTAAATCCAACAACAACATGTAATCTTTTCACAACAAGTTTGAAAACATCATAAAAACTTGCAACATCTGCTCAATTTTGTATCCAAAAACGAAAACAAAGCAATTTAAAAAGATTTAGTTACGCACCTTGATTATTTTATTTTGATTCATTTTTATCATTTGTTCAAGACATAAGCGTCAACACGAGGAGATACAAACAGTAAAAAAACTGTTTGAAAAGTTAAGCGAAGCTGGTAAAAGTAAAACAACAAATTATTTTCTAGAAGAAATCAATGAAAATTCATTTGGAAGTTACAAAGTTTTTATTTTAATTTTTCTCTGTAAAAATACACAGATTATAAATAAATATAAATATTAGGTACCTTCTTTTCCAATTCTTATTTTAGTCTATTCAACAAGATTTTGCACACAATCTTTCAAACAATTTCTTTTTTATATACATACACACACACACACACACACACACACATATATATATATATATATATATATATATATATATATATATATATATATATATATATATATGTGTGTGATAAAATATAAAATATAGTTTTAAGTTATTCAATATTTATCAGTTAGAGTGCTCAATACCAGGGATAGATTCTAGGTAAATATATATTTATTAAATATATATGTGTGTATGTATATGTATATAGAAGTAAATGTATATATATATATATATATATAAATGTAAATATATATATATATATATATATATATATATATATATCTGTACAAATATGTATATTTTTATATGTATAATAATATGTATATATATATCTGTACATATGTGTATATATATATATATATATATATATATATATATATGTATGTATGTATGTATATATATATAAAATATTACTTGTAATAAGTAGAAAAACTTACTATTCAAGAATTAAAATTAAAATGTTGATAATCTATCTATCCATCTATCTATCTATCTATCTATCTATCTATCTATCTATCTATCTATCTATCGATCGATCGATCGATCGATCGATCGATCGATCTATCTAAAGACATTGATAAAAAGTTATATCAGAAAATTGATTTTGGGATTTCTGTCCAGCCGAGAACTTTTTTCAGAACTTCTAGCTATCTATCTATCTAGCTAACGAGCTTGGTAACACAACTTTATATATATATATATATATATATATATATATATATATATATATATATATATATATATATATGAAGAAACACCTTAATATCAACTTGTGTTATTCAAGATGGCTTTATGCACTACTTTTTCTTTACCATTTCATCCAAAACAATGTGATAATGTGACTAATCTTTATTATTTATCCATGAAATAGTTTTATTTTCGTTTTGTTTTATTCCTGTCTCATCAACAAATTCTGCAACTTGAACAATATACGCAGACATTCTAGACATTTCTTGGCTGAATTGTTTGCCCGCTAATTTGGTCAACGCAAAAGAATTATCGATTAAAAATGTATTATTACACTCCTCCAAATCGATAATATTAATACCCCCTTTAGGTTTTCAAGGGTTAAACGTTCCTTAGGACCAATTTGTTTGTCTGCCAACCCTGAAAAGTTTGTTTGGACAGAAATTTTTAGCAACCATTTTTTATCCAAGTTAAACAGGGGTCGCTTAGAAGATATCTATTTTCATTGGTTGCAAAAATCAACCAATGGAATTTTGAATACTGAGTATTTCATTAAGAGAGAATTAGTACACGCCGTTATCGTTTGGAAATATATTGGTTATAACATTAATAGCATTAATCGTTTCAATTGTTAATTTGATTAAGCATCATATTTCTATCTTGTTTTTACTCTTTATTAAAATATGGGCGGACGGATGTTTTGTGGTCGATATTTAATAACAGCTGGTTGAGGTAAAAATCCACCATATCTGGTGGCTGTTGCTGCTTTTATAGACAACATAAATAAATGTTTCGTGTGATGACATCGTTCTTTCATTAATCAATGAATTTAAACAGTAATAAATGATTCCTAACTATTCGAGAAAAATAGACACTGAAGTTTTTGTTGGGACTAAACAATTTAGGCAGGAATATATACTCATTTTACTGAAGAAAGAATTCTCTGTCAACAGATTTCAGGGTGGAAAACTAACAAATTCAGTCAGGCGAGAAGACAGACTAATGTTTCAGATACTTATATCGAATTCTGTCTTTTTTTCAAATCTCTATGTATATATCTATGAGTGTTCATATCTATCTATCTATCTATCTATCTATCTATCTATCTATCTATCTATCTATCTATCCCAGTCTGTCCATATCTATCTATCTATCTATCTATCTATCTATCTATCTATCTATCTATCTATCTATCTATCTCAGTCTGTTCATATCTATCTATCTATCTATCTATCTATCTATCTATCTATCTATATCCAGCCATCGATCAGTCTGCTCATTATCTATCTATCTATGTATCTATTTCTGCTCACATATACCCGTGTATGTCTGCTCATATCTATCTATCTATCTATCTATCTATCTATCTATCTATCTATCTATCTATCTATCTATCTATCTGTTTGCTTATTATCTATCTATCTGCTCATTATCTATCTATGTATCTATTTCTGCTCATATATACCTCTGTATGTCGGCTCGTATCTATCTATGTATCTATTTCTGGTCATATATACCTCTGTATGTCTGCTCGTATCTATCTATCTATCTATCTATCTATCTATCTATCTATCTATCTATCTATCTATCTCTAGCTATTCACATCTTTCTGTCAATAATATTTCAAATCTATTTATATATCTGCTATTATGTGTGAATATCAATGCTGATAATGCAACGGTGTATGGGTGAAATTTTATATTCTCCGCCTTATGTGTCCGAGTTTTGAGATGGAAAATCCTTCAGAATGGGTAGAAAATAGATGGAAGAATTGTTTTTATTCATGCGTTCTCCATGTTGACAGCATGTAATAAATTTGGGCATGTAAGGCGAAGAATATAAAATATCATACGATTTTTTTTTAAATTAACTCATTTTTCGTTTCGAGCAATGCCAGTTTGGGAAAAAATAAGATTTAAATATTTTAAACACATAAATCTATACACACACATTTTTGTTATCAATCTGATGAAGCCATTAATAGGCGAAATGTATTATCGGATATTATTTTCGAAACATACTTTTATGATCATCTTTCCAAATGTCAACAATATATATATGTATATATCGTCAAAATCAGTTTGGTACTGATCTCAGTTTCAGGCATCCGCTGATAGCTTTGAAATCTCACTGCCGCTGATAAAGGGACCCCTGCTGTACTTCTTTTGAGATAACGCTTTCTCCTCTTCTGCTATTCTACCTTTTGTGAGGATGTCATTAAATCTTATTCAGATGCGATTAATTCAATGCTACCATCTTTTGTGTCGTTCTATGCTTTTACAGATCATTTGTCAGCAGTGCAAGTTCAGGATGCATTTCATTTAATTACAGTAATTAAATTAGCAGTTCAAGAATCTTATTCTTAATTTAGGATAATTATTTCACAGTTCGATAGATTCAAAAGCAAATCACCTCTTCATATCTACTGCCCTTACTCGGTATTTTCAAACTTTTAAGACTTCCAATGCTACTATTGTTTAAGTTTTGCCAATTAAGGTAAAGGAGAGGGTATAAAATATAGTTTTGAGGTATTAGGTTGGTGCAAAAATAATGACGTAATAATGTCATTTTTGACGTATTTTTTAACGTCAAAAAACGACATTATTACGTCATTATTTTTGCACCAACCTAATAAGTTACCTAATGGCGTTTAACTTCTCCCTCTAACTGAAGAACAGTAGCTATCCAACGTAGTATGGAGCCTATGAGATGTTAATATCATTACATAGCGGTATTTATCTGAGCAGATTCCAGGGCTGTTTGTAAGTTAGTTGAATTTGTTGTGTGTGATTGTAAGGAGTTTATTGAAAGTCTGCAACATAACCTATACATCAGGATTTAAAAAAAAATTCAACACGGCTGACAGTTTCGAACTTTGTTTTTTTTTAGAAACTGATTCACTTTATCACTTTGACTTTCAGTCCGAAGTGTAACCACTCAGCTATATCCGCAAACTCCTTGGCCTTTCCTCGCTAATCATATTGTTTCTGGCAGACATGAATGAAATTTAATAAAATCAAATTAGTGATCTTAATTTGGATTCAACCTCATTCACGCCATTTTCCTGGTTCGTCTGTCTACCACGAACATTATCATCTGTGGTTCGTTTATTTGCACAGAGATGTTAGTTTTAAGCCGCTAGAACACTTTCAGGAAGATGTTATGAAATTGAAAAAAAGATAAAGTGTTTTCAGATACCATTTTCAAATGCCTTTTAAAATATGTTGGTTGTCTGGATATATGTAAAATTTCTGTTTGTTTTTTTTTATATATACCTACTGATTGCATTCCATAAGTTTTAAATTGCCGAATAAATTGAATTGTCGAATAATTTGATTCAGCACGTCATTTTTATACATTTTCTCTCCATAAATTTGGACGTTACATATGGTATGAGCTGATAAGAAGAAAGAAAGAAAAAGAAAAGCGGATAATTTGATATAATACGCACACATATATAACTTAGATGTGGCACAAAGCCGGAAGTATCGAGTACCCAGTTAGGATCGAACTACTCATTCGTAATATATATAAATATATATATATATATATATATATATATATATATATATATATATATATATATATATATATATATATATATATATATATATATATATATATATATATATATATATATATAAATTCAATTTATTATATATATATATATATTTCAAAATTAGAAAACAGACAACCTTAAAGGTTTGCAAAGGGTGAAAAAAGTTTTCACCCCTTGGAAATGGGGTCTGATTAACCAGGTAAAAAAACAACCTTCCTGGGGGGGAAAAAAAATATAATCAATGGACCCTTAAGGTTGTCCGTTTTATAATTGAATTAAATTAATAATTGCTCTGGTTTGATTCTGAGCTCTCTGGATTACATCCTCCTTGGGATTATCCATACGGATTGCCAAACTTTTCATTACTATATGAATTAAATATATATATATATATATATATATATATATATAATTCATTGAATAATATACAAATATTGCTGGCCGGAAATTCGTAGAAATGCAAAAATTATTACGAGCGTAGCAGCATCAAATTGAAGTGCATATAACAAACATTTAATGTCATTTTGCATTTCTACTAATTTCTGGTCAGCTCCTTTATATTGGGACACTTGTTTTGTGAAAAAATTCCATTACTACAACGGATGAATAATAATTTGAAAATAACTATACCAGAGCTCGTTGGTGAGTATTTTTAAAAAAATCAGCAACACAACAAAATGCAGATTTTATCGCAATTACAATTTGAACAATGGTTCAAAGGCGACGATGAAAACTAGTGATTAAGTCATGGTCATTTCTAGAAAAGCTCGTAATTACGCACCTAGCTGTGAAGAAATGATTAGCAAGCCAGTAGTCTATTACTATTGAAGTGAGTTTGACCCTCACTAGGTGTCCTATACTTATGGCCTTGTGCCAAGTTAATCTAAGCTTGTTAAACAGAAGTAAACCCAGAACATAATTTCTTACTGAATTCGATTTTATTTTGATTTGCAAATTTCTTTAAGTTGTCTACCTACTGATTATACTTTTATGAACAAGGCAAAGCCTCTCCTTCCATAAAAGCACTCAGAGTAGCAATTTGTTAAAGTAATATCAATTCTATTGCCAATACTGATTTCCTTGGCTTCGTTGGGTCGGGTTTCAATAAGTCGAGGAGATTTTGTATCTTACATATCTAGTAGGGAAGCCCTATATGAAAATTGCTGACTCCAGTGTTCCAGGGTTATAGACGAGTGATAATATTAAATAAGCTCGTTTACTTTTTTTTATCTATCACGAGATTGATGTATCACCTGAACACACACAGATATATATATATATATATATATATATATATATATATATATATATATATATATATTCAGGGAGGGCTTCTCAAACACATCTACTCACTAAAATAAAAGTTTTATAGTAGTAATAATATGTATGTCTGTATGTATGTATTTATTGGTGAAGATGTAATAATAATGAAGTTTAGAATAGAATCAAGATAAATTAATATTTTAGTTGTTATATATATATATATATATATATATATATATATATATATATATATATATATATATAAAGACGTCTACTTAAACACGTGTACCCATTAAATATAACATTTATAATAATAGCAGATACCGGACACAGAAATACACGCACACACGCACAATCGCATTAATGCATTTATTTCATTTTTTTTTCTAGGTTGTTTTGTCTTGAAATATATAAAAATGAGAATGTGTGTGTTGAATTCATTTCTTATAAAAACGCTGATACTAATATCCTTAAAATTCGTCATCTAAGATTAGAAAAGTCCTGGCTGCAATGTTCGTTCTTTTTTTTTTTTTTTTTTTTTTGGTTATGGCCCGGGGCATGACAACTGCAATTTTATATATTTAATTTCGCGCATGCGTGTTGTTTGTTTTTATTTTGTCGCCTGCACGGTATAATACGATCAATTGGCCATCGGCTGTGAGAAAAAGAGCGCCATTACGCAATTCACTCTGCCATAAATTTGGAAACACCATGCTGTACTACTTGGCATTCGCACTAGAAGATCCAATACAAACAATTCTGAGTGCTTGGGTGTCAGTCTGAGGACAGTGCAATGGATTCGGAAAGAGTTGGATAAGTCAAATGGTGCTTACAAAATACGGCAGCTCGGAAAACACTCCGATCGTTCTGATAAGAAAAAACCTACCGAATTTGTTGGTGAAAGCCTCAGGACCAACACGGAGGCCTACATCAAGTGCCTTGAGGAGTTAGTGCAGCCCTGAGTCAGACAATTTCTGTAACCACATCACCCGTTACATCTGACCAACTAACCCCCCAGACTGCCAACCCTCTTGATTATTATGTGTGAGGCGCAGTTGAACGAGAGACCAAAAACTCCTTATATTACAAAAGATGAAATAAAGACAAGTATTAGGGCAGCATTCAGCAACATAAACAAGGAGAATGTCCAGAAGAGTTGCAGGAGATTCCGAAGTTGTCTGGAGGCCGTGGTTGAAGCCAATGATGATTTTATTGAATAAATTTACTCTTTATTATTTCAAGATACTTTTGTGTAATTTTCGTAAATATATCTTTCAAAAGTGCGATGGGTAAATTGTCGCTATTTTATATTTTTAATTTCGCGCATGCGTGTTGTTTGTTTTTTATATTTTGTCATCTGCACGGTATAGTAGGACCAATTGGCCATCGCCTGTGAGAAAAAAATAAAAATAAATTTGGAAACACCATTCTGTACTGCTTGACATTTGCAGCAGAAGCTCCAATACAAACAATTCAGAGTGTTTAGGTATCAATCTGACGTCAGTGTAGAAGCTTTGGAAAGAGTTGGATGAATCTAATGGTGATTACGAAGGTGTTTGAAGCAATCACTAGTGATGGCAACATTATGCCGCCATTCATCTTCCAGCAGGGCCTCAGACACAACACAGTATTGAGGATATAGCGCTACCCTGACTGCTGGAACACTCTTTCTCTGGAACAGGACTCTGCACCATGTCATACAAGCAGGAGGACTCAGTCATAGGTGTCAGACAATTTCTGCGACTACATCATCACCTAACTAAACAGACAGCACGCCCTTGTAGGGGCT